GGTATGTGAAGCGTGTTTTAACATTTGTAGGAAAATTCAGGAAACCCGGGGATCGCTAGGAGGCGCAGCTGAAAGTTCAATATTTCATACACCGATTCAAGTAAGAATCCATCACTTTATTCTTTATTATGGAATTGAAATCTAATTATAAATAATACGGTATTTTGCATAATTTAGAAAACTTCGATAATTAATTACAAGTTACTAATGGAGCCGGAACCGGTTATTTATTACAATTTGTCCTATTTTAACTGATCGTTTGATTTTACAGTTTTAAATGCATGATAATACACTGAAAATTAATAAGATGATTCAGTTGTGTTTCCTTGATGTATGTAATACTTGTCTTGTGTGATTTACAGTTAAATTGTAAAACTGAAAATTAAATGTAAACAGAAAATTGATTGGTTAAATGAATGAATGAATGATAGTCTTACTAGATATATTGGGAGATGGTGGACGGACCGGATACATAGAGAACCCTACCATGAACGTCGTCTCATACCGGACGAGATATTGATGGATTGTATTTTTGGCACTCATATCGGACGGGGTATGAGGACGGTCGGTTAGTTGACAAGTTTTAATATGTGTTCACGTGTAATGAGACATCCCTATAGACTATGATGTTGTTGTACTTGCTTGCTTGAATATGAGATTATGATGTTGTTGAACTATTGGCTCTATATGTCAGTTTTGAAAATCTCACAAACGATAAGTATGAAATAAATGATTTTATTTATGATAAATTAATTTACTTAAATTAAGAGCTCCATTAGTTATTTTTATGATTTTTACCAACATTTATTTCTGTATCGGTGAGTAGTATGATATTCTTACTAGGTTAGTGTAACTCACAATTTCATTAATCATTTAAATCAAATGGACCAATATCCCAATCAATAAGAGAGTTATGAATAGTTCACCACTCGAACTCCCTTAAAAAATTAGTGAAGGTCGTCATAGGATACCTAATTGTTTATTTTTTACTTATTTCTTAATTTTTTCGCTTGTTCTTTTATAATGATCATTCTGTGACCCTATTGGGTATTCTAAATTATTGTGTAAGTAATGTAAACTATAACTCTATTATTTCAATTCTGCATTCAATTTATAATTTATTTTATTTTAACTTCCGGGTTGTTACACAATCTACTATTGTATCTATACATGTGTTGCTTTCTCTGTGAATATTACACTTTGTATTACAAATTTTTAACAAATTTAATCATAAATTTAAAAAACTTTACTTAAAATTATTATAAAATCTTATGATTAATATTGTAATTAAATTAAGATTACATTAGAATTTTCTCAAAAAATCATAATAATAAACAATATACAAACATTAAGATATAAGTGATAATTCGTTTAGTTAACATACATAATTATTTATAATTTTTTAAATATTAAATTTAAATAATATATTTATTCTAATTAATGATTAATTTTTTAAAAATAAGAGAGTACTTAGTTTTTAAATGAGACTACTATTTTTTACACATTTATATGAAACGAATGATTCATCGTATCATCGGTAGAACTTGTAAATTTTCGATTGATCCTAAAAGAAATGAATAAAAAAATAACATATCGTATCAATAAAAAATTTGGATAATATTTTTTTTTGGATGGGTATAAATCCGTGTTTAAATTCTAAAATTCATAAAATAAAATTAATTTTTTTTAAAAAAATAACATTAGAAAATATTTAAATGTTACAAAAAAAAAAAAGGATATAAAAAAGATATTATTGGAGATGACGTAGGAAAATCAAAATGATAGGGAACCCTAAAAGGCTAAAAGCTCCTTTCAACAGGCGAGGGCATAATGGTAATAATAACTATAAAGGTGAGGGCAATTTAGTAAAATCAATGGGGTCCGAACTTTGACCCATACCCGTTCCGAATTTTTTTACTTCATGAATTTAATTTATAAAAAGAAACCGGGTCGGGTCAATATTTATCGTTGATTCCAATCAGGTCAAATTGCCAGGGCAGAGAGGTAAGAGAGAGAGAGAGAGAGAAGCAGTAATACTTCACTAGCAGACTCAAAACAAGCAGCAGTACCACCATTACTACTTTTTCCATTACTGGAAACAGGTAGCTCCCCTTCCAAAAACCCATAAAATCTTCTCCACAGATATAAAAAAGTACCATCTCGTGTAATAGTTAAACTGTGCATGTTCATGTTGGTTACTTGAATCCGTTTTTGATCTTCACAGAGAGAGAAATGGTTGGTACTTTTGATTTGCTGTGTCGCTTTGCTTGTGTAGTAAAAGATCTGGGTTCCTCCAAAGTTTTGTAGTGAAGCAATACTTGGTTGTTTCCAAGCTTGAGATCTGCTTTCTGGTATGTGGGTCTTGTTGGTTTATGAGTTGTAAGGTTTGGTTCTGAAGGTTGGGTTTAATTGGGTTTTTCTCTATTCAGAGCTGAATCCTCTGAAGTCCGTAGTTAAGTGGGTTTTGGTTGAGATCTGGGTCTGGTTGGTTTGCGCCTTAATTGCTTTAATTCTTCAAATCGGGTTTACTGTTGGAAGCTGAAATGTGGCGGATGGAATTGAAGTTGGAGGTTCCAGCTTGATGTTTTGCTGCAAAAGTTGAATATGTTTGGGGTTGTTCTGGGGGGTGAAGAAGATACAGAGACTATGAGGCTGATAGCGATACTATTTTGCAGCAAATCCGGCTTTGGTTGACAGTTTATCAAGGTTTATTCTCAATACCGCCTGGGTTT